ATATATATATATATATATATATATAAAGGATATGCGGGAAAACTAGTATCTAATGAAGAATTTATTGAATGCATGTTTCAAATGGGATCTGAAGCGTTAATAAATTTGATCCCAGAGCAATTTATGTATCATTTTGTGCATACTAATACATCGACTCATATCGGTGGTTTATTGCGCACTATATGCTTTCTCATATACCTGTGCACCATCTCTTGAGCCTTGTGAACTGAAAAGAATCATTAGTTTAGGCGCCTCCTAATAATCGCAAAAATTGAAGCAAAATATATGACACGGTAACGCCGAACACACTGAAGTCGTTTACCACCACCACCACCACTGCTAGCGCTGAGCAGCACTGATCGATGCACTGAAACCTCGCAACAGAGTACGTGTCACGTGCAGATAACCACAGATAGTGTTTGAAATGAATTCTGACACGCGCGCAGTTTGTTGGTTTCGGTAAGACTGACTGTTTTTCTTTTTGGCTACTCTCCGGTACAGTTTGTTTCACAGATTATCACAAACAGCATGCACGTGTGTGCTCACTCATCTAGATAGACATCGGCGTGTATTCTCTTCCCTGCTTTTCAGGAAAGGAATGACCGATTGAACAAATCTATAGCGCTTTCACATCACAGAATGAACTGATATGTGGTCTTCGAAGAAATTGGGAGATAATGCTGTGTTCTAGACTTTGTGGTATTTTTATCTCAGTCGTGCTCAGTCCGACACTAATCTTCAACGGCAAGTGAATTGCAATCGTCAATTGTTTCCAGTGCGCTTTTTCTTATCGAACGGTAGATTTTCCAATGTGTATCGTTTCTGTACTACCAAAGCGGCTAAAATCAATATCAAACAGAGATCACCAGCGGGGAGAGTAAAAGTACAGGTGATAAATCATCCGATCCACGTGCATACTGACTAAGCACGCGTGACGGTATATATTGTCGATTCTCCATGCTCCTGTTCATTTAGTTCGAAATTGTCTATCAACTGGGGCTCTGATATTCATCGGATAGTTCGAACTGTCTACTGCACTACGCTGGGGAAGTGAAAAGTGCATCCCACCCCCGGTCAGGTCATCTAAAGTTACGGGGAAAAGCTGTTTTTGATCTGTTCCAGCAACTAATACGGCGGGAATTGAGACCATGTCCTCATTATCAAACAGGGGCAGTTTTTCAATACGATGGATTCGCCACCATAGGCCTTGGGTGTTTGGCCATTATATGCCTGCTTGAATTGGTAGATCCAGCTGTTTTTCGTGTGTAAAGTGGATCCTGAGTTTTAATTTCATGCAATTCTCTAGGGATCGAATTAGTTAGCTTCATGAACTCACCCACGGCAAGCAAGTACCATTAGACTTTTTTAAAAGTATACCTGTAGCAGCCTAGGACTTCCAGTGATGTATAGTGATGTATAGGCTATAGTTATAGCCTTATTTAACAACGGACTAGATCTGAACATTCGCGGTCCCTTTGTTACAGAAGTATCGTTTTCCGGACGCTTCCGGTGGCCTACAGGTCCACTGACCGTAAACTCCAATGGTCGCACTACCTCGACAGTTTTGAAGAGAGATAATTGGGATTGATCATAGTAATTGTCATGTATGAAGTCCAAACTATGGTTTCGCTATCAAATAACAACACCGTTCCTTGCCGATTGATACGGTACCGCAAGTACTCGTTGAGGCTTTATGGGGTCTGCTCGCTCAATGTAACAGTCTTCAAACTACTGTGGTTACTCTCTGGAATCGTTCAATAAGCGGGCCAATCCAGGTTGAGAGTAACTGTGCATCCTTTTAATCTCAATGAGATCGAGATCTCTACTGTCTCACTGGTTGCACTGGTTTATGCAAAGACGAGGGGGCTCCGCCTGTAATAAAATTCAACCAATATTGGGAATGTCACTTCGTGTCTTTTTTGAGACTACAAGGAGTCGGCTCATCTACCAGAAGAAGCTAGCCGCGTAAAAGTAAAATACAACCGTAAAGTCCTGATGTTCTCGGCTGCGATTTGCAATAACTGCCTCAATTTGTGTTATTTCACCCATTATCTTGAAGAATAATTAAATTAGAAGTTTACTCAGTTGAATGAATGATATTTGATTCCCCTAAGTTTGAAATTAGGATGAAAACTCTCATTCAAAAATCACTACACTATCTTGGAACTAATGGGGAACGATTGTAGCTCGGGATGTGGAACACACCACCAATTACAATATCTTAGTTTCCTATTTGTTCTTATTCGGAACCGGGAGTACTACTTCTCTATAGTTGTTTAATCGATAACATGCGTTCACGTTCTATTTTTCTCCATTACTCAGGCTGACGTATTACAATCTCTGAGTCGAAACAAGCACACCGTGGCCCAAGCGGACCTGGACAAATTGATCCAGTTCACTAAGGAATTCGGTCAAGATGGATCGTGATTCAGTTTGGACTATGTTAACTGATCGTACCATTGCACATGCATCCCCCATGTCTTGTCTCATTTTCATTCCCTCCCCACACACTCATGCCGTCCGTCTGCTTAATCGAACCAACGCAGGCACTTTCGATGAACCACGCCGTGTTCCTCGAAAACGGTTTCCACCTCGTCCGATGATCGTGCCATTTTGGGCTGTCCGTCTCTATTTCTGACAGATATTCCGCTACTTTTCCGTCCCCATCCCCCTCCGCATATACACACAAAAGGACGCGCACGCATCACATTTGGTTCCATCATCGAATCATTGTCACCATCATCATAATGGACTTTCATGGTGCTTTCCCTCTGTTCCGGGGAAAAACAGACTGCTTTTCCAGATTACCCTGTCCCTCTCGGTCTCCTCTCACATATACACATGCCCGTTGGGAGTTTGTGTATCAGGCCTAAACGTGGATGAAAGTCAGTATGCAGCTGCACTGGACTTGAAGCACATCAAATCTCGATCTGTACGACTTACCCATTTCGTAACCTCCTTCCGTATGGCGGACGAGAACTGCTGCATCTCTCGCATGTGTGTGTTTCTATTTTCTGACTTCTTTCATCCGCCTTATTTGCCGCTCCTTCTTCTCTGTTGCTGGTCTCGTTTCACATTCGCTAATCCTATCACCCTTCCACTATTTTCGATTTATCTTTACTGGATAGAACTATTTTTTCTGTCTTACTCTCACTTCTTCCCGCCACTCTCTCACACAAACACTGTGGTTTCATTTGATTACGATTGCTATTGCTAGTAATTTGGTCGTTCCCATCTATTGTGGTCTGTTTCCTGTGTTTTATGAATGAGTAGGAAACGGATGAAGAACAAATAATGGTCGGAGTTTTGTTTGCTTGCCGAAATTTTCCCGGGCTAATTCGCATGTGGCATCCGATTTTAAATCGGTCTGTTCTTTCTCTCTCTTCACACCGCATTTGATCGACACCAATAGTGATGATGATGATAGTACGGGACAGTAACGAAATTCGGCAATCGTAGTTTTGACCACCCTAATTATTCTGACTTGTGGTGATGTATTCACTTGGCAGGTTCCATTTACGCTATCGGGATTTGGCTGTCTTCCTCGCGTTATACTTCGTCTACAAGCGGTTGTTCGGAATAAGTGCCCCGTTGGATCGCGGATATATTGGTTGCGAGATCATCTTTCTAGCAGTCGGCAGCTACATTAACGTGAGCGTTGGAATGACCGCATCTGCATAATGTTTTTGGAAGGACTATTGGCGGTGTATTTTTGAAAAGTTTATCGGAGACAGTTATCACCGCTCAAGGTTATGTATTCCGAGTTTCCTTAACAGAAGGACCCATCGTGAATGAACCTAACGGAAATTTCACCCGAAACGGGACCGCTTGTACAATAAAGTCAACCAACTTCGTCCCCGGCGAGTACACCGACTAAGTGAAGTGATTTTGTATCCATCGAACCCCACCCTCTGAATGGCTGAGCGCCCCTCCTGGTTGATATGGAATCAGGGTTTCGAGCCGACTCGTACGTTAAATGTCGTCTGTGCACCCGGATGTTGGCTTTTCGTCCTCTCACTTTGATGAGAAAATATCGCCACTTGGAGACTGTAAACAAGGCTTCATCAGCAAAGGTTATTAGAGGACGCTTGGTCATACAGTAGCATTTCGAGAGGTTCGAAGCAAGACTGACAAGTCGCAACCTTGGGCACCCATCCCTGTTCATACGAAGGCACTCAGTGAAGACAAATTGGAAATTAAAAGAATTCGTGAATGAAATTTGTACAATATTTGTCCACGGTGATGCTGAATCTTGAAGTTGTACTGATGCTAAACGAGATACATTATGTTAATTCCCTCGGTACAGTCAGCCAATGGGCCCGCAAAGCGACATCAGACGAGTAAAGTGTTAACCTCATTCGTTGGTGTGTATGCGAGTTCTGCTATAGAATGTGCTTAACAAAACGGTTCTTATTTGATGAATTCATCGTGTAATCGGGGCGTGAGCTGGGAAGCACTGGACAGCACTTTGGGCCTGGTTGGGTCTCATCAGCAGTGCGAATCCATCGAACCCGGGNCTACCTACTCGGGCAGCTGATCAGACCGTTTCTCATTTTGAATTTACACGATACAGCACAATCCATCTATGCCAGTATCGGTCCTCGCTCATATCGGTACCCGCTTCCAGGGTTACGACTCCGTTGGATGGGTTGTGCTATATCGAGTAAATTCAAAATGAGAAACGGTCTGATCGGCTGCCCGGTGGCAAAGTGGGCAGTATGCGTTCGACCTGTGAGATCCCCGGTTTGGCCGATTGATTCGCACTACTGACGAGACCCAGCCAGGGCGAAACAGCCTTTCAGCTCACACCTCATTTACACGACGAATTTATCACTTAAACAAATAAAAAAACCCACCACTCTTGCAAAAACGGTTCTTACTATGGTAAAAGTTAGGGACCCATAACAATAATGATTCAGATGGCACTTTGTAGGTAGCTTTGCGGTCGCCCGGGTCAATACCACGCCTAGTCTAGTGGGTCCTCGTGACTATGAGGTTTACCCCGTCTGTGGTTCATCACACCGAGGTTTGTAGGAAAGAAATTTATTTTATCTCTATTCTGAGCTTGGGTTTAGCGCAGAAATAATTCGTCCTTATGCCAAGGGGCCTGAAAAAAATACGGCATGGAAAATGAGTTCGTTCCATCTGCCAGTTACCACTACTAGAATCTTGAGTTCAGTGCCATTTGGGGACAGTTCATCAATAGGCCTCACCAACCGGCTAGGGGATACTATCCGGATTCACAAACTGACCAACAACGAGAATACTTTAGACCGATTACTATTTCATCACAACCAGTTCAAAGTTGTGTTTCATTCAGTAGCTAAGTAATTCGTACGCACCGCGGTATTTCATTGCTCAAACCGTTCTCTTTAATTTGGCCATGTTCGCAGATTAAGCTTCTATGGAACCGCAGTCTTCTCTTCGACGATTTTGTTCCAATATACTTGCTTGCTTCTCACAAGCAAGTATTAGAAAATAGCTGAAATTTAATTGGTTGTAGCTTAGTTTTCACTCATTCCGTTGATTTCAACTCCCATTACCGCGATGGGGAATGCTGTTTGATAATGGCTGCGTCAAGAAATCTCCACAATCTAGTACAAATAACTGCTCCTAGTATTGCTACTAAAGCGTAATATTAGTTAGCAGTGCAGAGAAAATGCGCTGTGTCGTGTTATTACGCCTCAACGGCTATTCATCTCAGACAGGTCAGTCGGTTTGTGGCATTGACTATGACGTGAATTTGTAACTCTTCGGAATTCTATGTACAAGTCACCGAAACATGTCTTAGTATGGTCGGGTTTTATCTACTCTTCCAACTCGCGAAATAGTCTCATAAGACCCAGTGTCTCAAACAGCCTCTGCTGAGGAAGTCCTACCTAGTGCCTTCATGTGGTGGAGTCATTTTCCCACCAAATTGCGAAGAAGAACAGCCAAAATTCGGGTCCGTGAACCGCTATCAGTTCACCTGGGGGAGTTGGCTAAAAACCCTGACTCCAAGCCAACCATGAAGAGACGTGCCTTTCTGCTTGTGGCAGTGGTCATCGGTTCGATTGGATGTTTGAAGCCGTCCAAAGGATGCACGACCCGATGAGTTAGACTCCGGTATTCGCACACCTCCCGGCTGCCTTTAGTGTCAGGCTTTGGCTAGGTGAAGGTACCTGTGATGAATTGCCCAAGAAAATTCACCCATGCAGTATTGCTTGACTGTCAACAAGGCTGTCCCCAGAATATCGATTTGCGCTTCAATCAATGCATAGATGCACACGCGCGTCATGGATCGGGTTCGTTCTACGCTGATTATCTGTAACTGTTAGCTTCTGGTTGTCTGCAGTAGTGAGACTCAGAATTCCAGTCGGATCACTAAGATGTGACTATCTGTTGTGAGAGAATTCGCGATGCTTCTGTATATGTATTATATATATATATATATATATTGAGTGCTCCCAATCGAATTCAAACATGAAATAGTGAATATTTCAGTGCATTCGTTCGCAAAAGTGATATCTATAAGGAACTGTAGTTTTCGACCGGTTTGTGTTTGGTCAAGAGCTATCTTAACTTTGTCCAAATACCATTCCTGTGGGCGCACATTTTTGCGACTTGCATTTTTGTTTAATTTTACACGATTGTTTGCTTTCATACTATAAGTCAGCTCCGTGGTTCACAATGACCGATAGAGATTCCTGGGAATGAGAATACAGGTAGGATCCCAAGCACTTTTGTTCGAGGCTACACCCTTTTTGGTACAAAAGGTGCAATCTGTGAAATAACAGAGTTGTTCCAGTCAAGTCGATTATCGGTGCAATAGTTCATTCACGACCGGAAAGCCCTGCGATGTACATGTAGCGGATTTCTTATCATTGGTGGTCTACATTCGCCACATCACAGCGTCAGAATATGTGGCGTTTTATGGCTAAGAAGCTTGTCAAGAGGAAATCTGCTGTGTCCTCATAGTATTATTATATTTCACACTTGTCTGAGGACAGACTGTGCCAAGCAAATCGTGGTACAGTAATCTTTATAAAATAAAAAAGTTCCATGATTGGCTTGTGGGCTGAATAGTGCCAAGTTTCCCAGGACAAGCAGGTGAATTTTCTTGAGGAATCCACAACTGGAGCCTTCAGCTAGCCAAAGCCTGACGCGCAAGGCAGCGGGGCGGTGTGTGAAAACCGCAGCCCATTGGGAGTCGGTGTCCGGTTCATCGGATCATTCGCCCTTTGGATGGGGTCAAACGTCCAAGGTGCCCAATCGAGCCGGTGACCGTTGCCACAACCGGTAAGGTGCGGTTCGTACGCCTCCTCATGGTTGGTTTGGAATCAGGGTTTTCGGACAACTCCCCTAGGTGAACTACCAGTGGTCCACCAATCCGGATGTCGGCTTTCCGTCCTCTCACTTTGGTGAGAAAATACCACCTCGAGAAGACA